CCGGTGGCGCAGGGTCCGGAGGCACGGGGGCTGCGCGAAGCCGGTAGTGCTCGGGCAGCCCGGCTCTTAAACAGAGCCGAAGAGTCAGGGGAGGAGCAGAGCCGCTGCGGGAGGGGAAGTGCCCGGCCGGCATTTTCCCGGACATGTTCGGCTTTTTGGCAATTCCCCCCGGACGTGGGTTTGATTGCCGAAAAGCCGGACATGTCCGGGAAAAACCGGACATATGGTAACCCTAATCACACCGACCCCAGAGGCAGCGTGACACAGCAAGACCTATAGACTCTGGATTCAAACTAAAGCCTACAAAAAGGATGGGGGAGATGGAAGACTTTGGGTAACGTTCTGCTGCCAACATGGGAGGGCATCGGTGCGCCCGACAGAGACCGGCCCTTCCTTGTGCCCGGCTTTCCTGGCCAGTTACCGCCACAAGCTACGAACCCAAGCTGTGAAATCAAGCCACGAACTCAAGCTACGTTCAGGACTAGTAACTATCCAGCAGCTGCAGAACATCTGGGGTGTGTGTGTGAGTGTGTGTGTGTATAAGCATTAAGGTATTAGCTAGTGGTTATAGATCAAATTAAGCAACAGAGGGTCCTGTGGCACCTTTAAGACTAACAGAAGTATTGGAGCATAAGCTTTCATGGGTGAATGCCTCCTTCGTCAGACGCCACACTAGAGCAAATTGTTAACATAATAAATGTGGCATCTTTGCCTTGCCCCCCGAAAAGATCCTGTGTAGTTTTGTCTGCATAACATGAGTGGCACCCGCAGAGGAGGGGGTGGGACTGGAATAGCAGGGGGTGGAGCTGAGCCCTTGTCACTCACCACTGGCCCCGCCCAGGCTGTAAGGGGCAGGTTCTCGTACACCAGGACGGGTGCCCCGTTCTTCTTGGGGGTCTTGTTCCGGCAGCGAGAGGCTGGGAGGAATCATCAGAGACGCTGGAATTGGGGTCCTGGTCCCAGCCCCCCCCCCTCTAACCACTAGACCCCACTCCCCTCCCAGAACCAAGGAGAGAACCCAGGAGTCCTGGCTCTCCCAGAGGGCGGGGCTGTTACTCACAGAGGAAATAGGCCCCGACTCCGACCAGCGCTGCCCCCGCTAGTGACCCGATGAGAATCCCAGCGACGGCCCCAGCAGAGAGAGCTGGATGAGGGGCATCTGGAGGAAGATGTGGGGGGGGGGTTGGATCAGATGGTTCAGCCACAATCCCCCCCACCCTGCTCCCTACAGCCCAGCACCCCCTAGCGCGACACTGGGGCATTGGTGCCAGACCTGGGATCCCTGTGTCTGCAGCGCGTTGCTCCATCCCGGGATTCACCCATCCCTGTCACCCACACGGCGACAGACGCCCAGGCAGTGCGGCCGGTGACGGGGTTGTGAGCCTGGCACTCGTACGTGCCCTGCTGAGCCCAGGTTGTGGAGTTAAAGGTCAAGATTATCCTGGTCTCGTTTGTGTCGGTGCCGTTGAGAACCCAGCGATAGCTCAGGGCTGGGACGGAGTCAGAGACACACGTCAGGTTCAGAGGGGACCCGAGGTCAGGGCGATGGGTCCGGGCAGGTCTATCCTGGCAGAGTCTGGCCCATCTACACAGAGAGGGACAGGGTCAGCGGATGGATGGCACCAGTGAGGGGTCCCTGTTTAACCAGCACCCTGCCCCACCCCAGAGGCAGCTGCATCTCTGTGGCTGGGTGATGCCGGCAGGGCCAGGGGCAGCACGGCCGGGGGACGGGGCTGCAGTTACTCACAGGCCACCATCACAGTGCTGGGCTCACTGCGTACGGAACTGACGGGGTTCCCGACCTCGCACTGGTAGGCGCCGGCGTCGCCCCGGGTGACATTTGGCACCATGAGGGTCCGGTTTTCAGGGGACAGCCCCAGCCGCTCACTGGGCACGAGAGATGCCCCGTCCCGGAGCCAGAGCACAGTGTCAGCGCTGGGGGAGCTGTTACACGTGAGGGTGAAGGTCCCGTTCTCCAGCACCTGGGTTTGGCCGGGCGTCACCGTGGGCCTGGGCAGCATTTCTGGGAACAGAGAGAGCATCACTGGGGGGAGTGGCTGGATCCAACCTGACCCCCAGGGGAGCCCTCGCTATACGGGGCTCCTGCCCCACAGCCCTGTGGAGGATTCAGACCCAGGCGCCTGGCGGCAGAAGTGAGCTGTTATCCACCTGCAAACTTCATTGGAGGGCGACACAGCTACATGGGAAAGAGTGGGGTTCTGGGAGCCAGGACTCCTGGGTTCTCTCCAGGGAGGGCTGGGGAGTGGGGTCTGTGTGGGGAGGTCTGTGCAGCGGGCCAAGGGTTAATGCAAATTGTACCAACTGCCACAGAAGCTGTTGTTTGGGGGCTCGGGGGGGGGGGTGTCACTCCCCATCCGGGATGCCAGGTACAGGGCAGGGCCTGTGTTTGGGGGCAGGTTCCTCCATGACCCAGCCACGCTGATCCCTGGGGGAGATCCCCAGACCCCCATCACTGGGGCGGGGCGGGGGGGCACATGGCCTGGGATCAGCGCAGCTCCCGTGGGGGCAACTTACCAGAGACGCGCAGAACCACCCTGATGGAGCGGACAGGGTTAGTACCGGTCCGGCTCTGTATCAGCACCGTGTAGTTCCCGGTGTCACTGAGCGTTGACCCTGCGATGTGCAGGGTGCAGCCCGGCCCCGCTATCTCCCGCCCCGTGTGGGCCGGGCCGGGGATCTGATCAGGGGCAGGAGGTGGGTAGTAGGTGAGGATCCGGCTGCTTTCATGAGTGGTCGCTGATCGGTACCAGCTGCAGACCAGAACGTCCTGTGGCAGATTCTGTGGGGCCAGGCTGACGCCCCCTCCCACCACGGGGCTCGGCGGGGTGATGACGATGGTCACTGGGGTCTGGGCCGGCGCCGGCTGGAGGCAGGAGCCCAGGACAGAGGCTGCGGGGGGAGGAAAGTCTCAGTTGGGCAGCGAGAGGCCGGGGCGCGGGGGGGGGGTGTCAGTTGGGGCCCCCTTCCTATCCCTGTTCTGACCT